ATAAAAATATATTGAGAAGAAAAAAAAGGAAAGTCCCAGATTGTCCCCGTTCACATCTGGAGGGAATTTCCCGATGCTAACACTCCCACAGAATTCCAACAGGCCGGGGGGTCAAGCTTACACGCTGTCTCCTTGTCCTACGCAACCACCGCTGGTACGAACAAAACTCCTGCCAAGCCCGGCCTGTGTGTTCACACCTTGAAGGAATTTTCCCGATGCTAACACACCCTCAAAAAGGCCACGGAATTCCAACAGGCTGGAGGGTCAAGTTTACACGCTGTCTCCTTGTCCTACGCACAACCACCGCTGATACGAACAAAACTCCTGCCAAGCCCGGCCTGTGTGGCTCAGTGGTTGAGCGATGACCCAGGAACCAAGAGTTCACAGTTCCATTCCCGGTCAAGGGCACATGCCTAGGTTGTGGGCTCGATCCCCAGTAGGGGGCATGCAGGAGGCAGCCGATCCATGATTCTCTCTCCTCACTGATGTTTCTCTCTCTCTCTCCCTCTCCCTTCCTCTCTAAAAAGCGATAAAAACATATTAAAAACACACAACTCCTGCCAAGAGGTAAACCACTCCCACACCAAGTCCACAGTCGTTGCCCTTGACCTACCCACTCCGCATCCTCTGCCCCGTCCCCCTGCTCTCGGGTCTCCGCCGTGGTCCCCTCGGCAGACTTTCGGGCCATGATGTTGTCGGTCCACGATGCCCCCGTCTTTGCATCACCAGCGAAATTACACTTGGTCACTGTTCCAGCCTCAAGTTTGGCTAAGGAATCTGAGAGAAGGAAAGAAGTTGAGTGGCCTCTTTTCCTGTGGCGGAAACACAGTGGGGGGCGCTGGCCTATTCTACTGGGGTCCCTGCGGCTGGGGGTAACCCATTGTTCTCTGCAGGCCTGGGTGTGGACCTTGGGGAGATCCTGAATGCGACCCCCAAAGCCCTAGATAGGAGAGGGCACCACCCACAGGTACCCTGGGATTGGACAGCACCCCACGATCCAGGGTGTCTGGGATTTAGGGATATTATCTCAAGGGGTCATGTCCATGCAGAGGTCAGACCTGGCTGCTCCTGGGTTGTGGGGGGCGGGGGCCCCCGCAGGCCACTGGGAACACAAGGCCGCAGTGAGGGCTGCACTGCTTACCCAGGAAGGGGCCGTCGCCTCGGGTTTTCAGCCGAACCCCGGCCCCCAGCTCCAGCTCCAGGGCCTCCATCTCCGACTCGGGCATCCAGAAAGCCACGGTCTGCTCGGGCGTGAGGCTCTCCGTCAGGGCGAGCAGCGCCGGCTTATTCACCAGCTCCTTCAGTGCCTCGGGCGTGAGTCTGTCCGTGTCCCCCTTGGCGTCCACCCCTGCAGGCACACAGCACAAGAGGATTGTTCCCGCTGTAGGAGCAGCGCTGAGGGCCCTGGCCGGTTTGGCTCAGTGGATAGAGCGTCGGCCTGCAGACCGAAGGGTCCCTGGCTCGATTCCGGTCAAGGGCACGTACCTCAATTGCAGGCTCCTCCCCGGCCCCGTGCAGGAGGCAACCGATCAATGTGTTTCTCTCTGTCTTTCCCTCTCTCTTCTATCTCCCTAAAAATCAATGGAAAAATATTCCACTGATTAAGGCTCACAGCCAACTGCGGGCAGGGGTGAGCCCATCCTTCCAGGACTCATCAAGGAGCTCACGGCGGAGGAGGCAGGCATGGGCTCCGGACCTGGCTCATGGTAGATGCTCATTAAATGTGCAGACAATTGCCCGGCTGGTGTGGCTCAGTGCTTGAGCATCAACCCATTCACCAGGAGGTCACGGTTCGATTCCCAGTCGGGGCACATGCCCCGGTTGCAGGCTTGATCCCCAGTAGGGGGCGTGCAGGAGGCAGCTGATCAATGGTTCTCTCTCATCATTGAGGTTTCTAGCTATCCTTCTCCCTTCCTCTCTCTGAAATCAGTAAAAAATAAATAAATAATGTTTAGCCCTAGCCGGTTTGGCTCAGTGGATAGAGTGTCAGCCTGCGGACTGAAGGGTCCCGGGTTCAATTCCAGTCAAGGGCACACACAGGTTTCGGGCCTGATCCCTGGCCCTGGTTGGGCTGGATTCCCGGCCCTGGTCGGGGCACATGCGGGAGGCAACCAATCGATGTGTTCCTCTCACATCGATGTTTCTCTCTGTCTTTTCCTTTCCCTTCCACTCTTTCTAAAAATCAATGGAAAAATATCCTCGGATGAGGATTAACAACAACAACAAAAAACATGGATTAAAGGGTCCCAGGTTCGATTCTGGTCAAGGGCACATGGCCAGGTTGTGGGCTCAACCCCCAGTAGGGGGCGTGCATGAAGCAGCCAATCAATGATTCTCTCTCATCATTGATGTTTCTCTCTCTCTCTTTCTCTCTGAAATCAATAAAAATAAATTTAAAAATTCAATGGGAGAAACATCCTCGGGTAAGGATTAACAACACCAATGTTCAGAGAATGAATGAGCTGTGGAAAGCACGCGTGAATGCAATGACAGAGGGATGGATGGATGCGGCACAACCTCAAAACCTTCCCACACGGGGGTAGATAGCAGAGGTCCTGCTACTGCCAAAACCGGGGCGAGATATGACACCCCGAAGGGCCCAAGACCCAAACGAGAATTTGGCAGGAAAGTGGAGGCCCCCAGGGCCCTGGCCTGGGCTCTGCACCAAGGCAGGGAGAGCCAGAGCCAGGTTCATGGACGATCCTGCCAGAGTGAGGGTGGGAGGGGGGTGTGGGCACTGGGATCATCTGAGTGAATGGGGTACAGGAAGGAGTCCAGCCAGGGGCCCTCAGGCCAGACGTTAAAGCCAATCACGCTGCCCGGCTGGCTTGGCTCAGTACTTGACTCGACCTATGAACCAGGAGGTCCAGGTTCGATTCAATAAATAACGTCAATCATGCTTTAAGACCCTTTCTCGGGCCACAGGGCGGGAGAGAGGAGGGCAGAGGGCAGAGGGCAGAGGGCAGAGGGCAGGGGTACCTACTGTAGGAGGACATGAGGAAGCCCGTGTTCACCTTCCTGGTGTCGCTGAAGTTGGGCTCGATTTCATTGCCCTTGGGGTCGAACTTCCGGCGATGGATGCGACTGGGCCGGACATACAGCACGTAGTAGCGCTCCTGGGGGCAGGCAGAGAGTCAGGGGGCGGCTCCACTCCCCGCCTCACCCCCAATACACACACACGCCCCGCAGGGCTCCACGCAGCCCTCCTCAAACTCACTCTCTACCCTGGAACCCCACCCCCAGCTCCAAAAATATTCAAGCTGCACAGATCCCTACTCCAATATCGATCCATTCATCCATCCATACGTACACCGTTCATTCATTCACGTTTTGTTTTCATATATTTTATTGATTTCAGAGAGAGGAAGGGAGAGGGAGAGAGAGCGATAGAAATACCAATGATAGCCCTAGCCGGTTTGGATCAGTGGATAGAGCATCGGCCTGCAGACCAAAGAGTTCTGGGTTCGATTCCGGTCAAGGGCACGGACCTCAGTTGCAGGCTCCGCCCTGGTCAGGGCCCTGGTTAGGGCTCATGCAGGAAGCAACCAATTGATGTGTTTGTGTCACATCGATATTTCTGTCTTTCCCTCTCTATTCCACTCTAAAAATCAATGGAAAAATATCCTTAAGTGAAGATTAAAATTAAATGAATAAATAAATCTCATTAAGAAATATACCGCCCTGACTGGTTTGGCTCAGTGGATAGAGCGTCGGCCTGCGGACTGAAGGGTCCTGGGTTCGATTCCAGTCAAGGGCATGTGCCTTCTCTCTCATCGATGTTTCTAACTCTCTATCTCTCTCCCTTCCTCTCTTTAAAAAATCAATAAAATATATATTTTTTTAAAAAAGAAATATAGCAATGATAAGAGAGAATCATTGATCAGCTGCCTCCTGCACACCCCCTAGTGGGGATGGAGCCCGCAACCCGGGCATGTGCCCTGACCGGGAATCGAACCGTGACCTCCTGGTTCATACGTGGACGCTCAACCACTGTGCCACACGGGATGGGCCATTCGCGTGTTTCATCGAGTATCACCACACACCATGAACCAGGTTAGACGTCCATGAGAGGGTGGGCCCACGGCCTGACCCCAAGGTCCCCTAACAGCCAAGATAAAAAAGTGCACACAGACAGCCCCAACCCGAGCGCCAAGGGCCCCAAATACCACGCAGCAGGCGTGGCACAGCCAAGACGCCCTGGAAGGGCGCTGACAGGGAGATCGGACTGAAGGCAGCCGCCGTGCCTCTTCCAACAGATCCGGCGCCTGGGGCGCATCCGAGCCTCAGCTTCCCCTGTCGCACGGGG